AGATGGCGCTGAGTCCCATGCTATCTCTGCCTATGGCTGATTCCAGTCACTCAGCTTGATTGTCAGCTCCCAGACTATACTAACTTTCGTAGCTCCCCACGCAGACCCAGGCTCTCACCTGGCAGTCACAACATCTGTGTGGAGGCCACTGCTGGACACCTTGCTGGCACTGGAAACAGATTGCTGGAGCCTGGATCACCGGAGCCTGGATCGCTGGAATCTGAGTTGCTACTTGCCAACTGCTGGTGGGTTCTTCAGTCCACTACAACACTGGTGTCTTGCTTCTGCAGCTTTCCTGTGTCCAGGGAGGTTCCAGGTGTCCTCTGCTTACCGCCTGAACCCTATTTTTTCCCTAAAATCTACTTATTGTACTTCTCCCTGCCTAAGGACTCTCTGTCCCATCAAACACATCTGCACTCTATGCCGCCATCTTAAGCCTCGAGCTGTGCAATGGTTTTAATCACTGTAGCTCCACTTCTCATCCAGATCCCTGCATGTGGCCTGGGAAAGCAGCTGGCAATGGCCCAAAGCCTTGGGTTCCTGCACCTGTGTGGGATGGGCTGGAGGACGTTCTTGGCTCCTGGCTTTGGATTGGTGTAGCTCTGGCCGTTGCAGCCACTTGGGGAGGGAATCATTGGACAGAAGATCTTCCTATCTGTCTCCCCTCCTCTCTGTATATCTGGTTTTGCAATAAAAATGGATAAATTTTTGAAAAAAAATCTTCAAGGAATATGGAAGTAAGGAAAGAAAGGAAGGAATACAAAGGACAGAATGAAAGGCTAAAAAAAAGTCTTCCTAGTAAAAGTACAAATGAAACCTAAAGCAAATAATGGAAATACTGATGGTAAAATTGCAGGACCATGTTGTTAGATTTAAATACTAACCCCAAAGGAAATGTCATAAGTTCTCTAAACAAAAACTAGAAATGTTCTGATGAGATTTAAACCAAGTATTTTAAAGCATCGAAAAAGATACTATGTCAACAGAAAGGAATAATAAACAGGTATAACCATTCTTTTTTTTAGGTTAATTTTCTTTTTATTAGAAAGTTGGATATACAGAGAGGTGGAGAGACACAGAGGAAGATCTTCCATCTTATGATTCATGTCCCAAGCAGCCGCAACAGCTGGAGCTGTGCCAATCCAAACCAGGAACCAGGAGACTCTTCCAGATCTCCCATGTGGGTGCAGGGTCCCAAGGCTTTGTGCTGTTCTCCACTGCTTTCCCAGACATCAAGCAGGGAGCTGGGTGGGAAATGGGGCTGCTGGGACCAGAATGGGTGACCATATGGAATCCCGGTGCATTCACAACAAGGTCTTTAGCCACTAGGCTACCTTGATGCGCCCAGGTGTAGCAATCTAATATCCCAAAATGGTTGAGGGTCTTTCACACTTTCCAACAAGTTTATTGGTGAGGGTATTCCACTTTTTAAGATCTTTCCCTGTGTGAAAACTACCCAGCAAACTAAAAGATTTTTTTTCATGCCTAAGCAGAGAATACAAGGACGATATTGAAGTTTGGGAATAAGCCAAGTTGGAGGAATAAATTGCATCACCAGAAATAAAGTGCTTAACTCTCTTTAAATATGTAGAGATATTTCATTTTCCAATAACAGACTGAAAAAAAAATCATCTTAGAGTGTAGACAGAGGTGCAGATGTCTGAAACTCCCAGCCACGGGTGCACATAAGAACCAAAGTAAGTATAGAATAGGCTGGGCGATTTCTCTATTCCTTCTGAGCTATGTGTGAGCTGTGTCTGGGTGTGGACCAGGCTGCACTGGGCTGTAGCACCCCATAGTAAAAAACAGAATGGGTGAAGGCCAGTCAGGAATGGCAAATGTTCCTGCTAGGAGAGGAGGTAGACTCAGTAGGTAGAACGGGCCCATGGGCCCATGAATGGGCATGAGATCTGACATTGGGAGAGGTTTTCTTGGAGGAGCTTCAGAACCTCCTCTGTTGGGACATAATCCCTGCAGGTGAGCGCAAGAACCACAATAGGGAGCAGCTCTGACGAGGCCAGGTAACGGTACCCACTGGCATACATTTGGTACACAATGGGGGCAGGCCAGGCTGAGCAGAGCTACAACACCTGTTAGCCTCATGTGAGCTGGATTAGGGGACAGTCAGGCTGGAGTGACTGTTCCTACTGGTGCATGTATAATTCAGAGTTGGTGTGGATTTTTTGGGCTTTGTCGCAGCATCACCTGGCAGAGGCTGGCAAGAGGGGCAAATTCAGTGCAACATTGGGGGTGGGCCCAGGAGGGATGCAGTGGGCATCTCATTCTTGGTGAGCAACTGGTGAGCATGAGAACCAAGACTGTGGCAGGCATGGCTAGACAGAGAGTGGCACCCACTGGTAGATGTGTGTGTGCTGGATAGTGGGGCTGGTTATGCTGAACTAGATTCCAATGCCCTTTGACATGTATGAAAGCTGAATGGGATGTGGGACAGACTGCTGTACATACTGGCAAGCATGGGAACCAGGGAAGGGGACAGGACTGGTAAGGGTTAATGCAGGTGGCTCTGACTGGTTTGCATGAGAGCAACACCTATTGGTTTGTATAAAAGACAGGATGGGCACAGAACTGACCCAGCAAATGAAACCACCAGCATGTACATAAGCTGATTGGGGTGAAGGACTGTGCTGGAACCTCTCTTGGCAAGCACACGTAAGAATCGGCTCTGGGATCAACTCAGATGAATTTTCTATGGGGATTCTCCTACCTGAATTGCAGGACTCAGAACCCTAATCATGGAGGAAATAGTAGTTTCTATGGACTGGCCATGGAATGCATGTGTCAGAGCTGGGCCTGCTCAGTGGCTTGGATGGATCACTGGACAGCATATCCAGGTGCACATGGAGGACATGTCAGTACATTGGAGTTTGTAAAGAACACATTGTGCCACTGCAGAGGTCAGAGGACAGAACAGATTGATTAAGCACCATAGCAAAGCGATGGCAGTGACTATCTGGGCCAATGGAGACAAGAGGGAATATGTCAACTGGTGGATTCGAAATAGATTTCATTGTGCTTGGAGTGGCAAGATCGACAGTAATTCAGAACAATTTAACTATCTAAACCTCATGAGCAGGCCCCTCAGAGAGTGCCCCAATTAGGGACCCTGGGTGAGTTTCTGGTGGCTGTCACCCATTCCAGTGTAGAGAGGCATTTGGGAGACTGGATGTGGCGTCTCTCCTTGTCTTCCTGTTTCCACTACATACAGGGGAAAAAAAAGGGAATGTGGAAAAATGTCTCATCCACTTGTTGTAGCCCCTGACCTTTATCACCCTAATCAATTCTGTAAAAATCATCAAAAATAAAAGAATTATAAGAAAGAGACGGTCAATAAGCTTAATGATGGCACAATGTAACTGTACCATCAGGAAAAATGCAGGAAAAGAGGAGAATAAACAAAGATAGCATAAACAGTAAATAGAAACTTTTTTGGCAAAAAAGGAATATAACTAAATTAAAACTTTTCATAGAGTGTTTGATAGTGACCTACATAGGTAAAATACAGAGTCAGCCAATTTTTGGTTTATCAAATAATTTATTCATCATATTTATTTTCAACACGTTGTTTCAGGGTAAGTTTAAATTTACAGCAGAAATGTGAAGCAATCATTGTGGAGTAGAGGGGTTTGGGCAGCGGGAGATCTTGGGTATGGGGGTTGAAACTTCCAGCAGCCAGCAGCAGGTGGGTGCCAGGCTGGGGCCTCTCCATGCACCAAGTCCTCATTCCAGCTACCATGGACACATGGTGAGCTGTCCCTGGACCTGCCCAAGTCCCAGAAGCTGCTCCCTTCTTGGTAAGTACATTGAAGGGAGAAGTCTGGAGAGTTGGGCGGGCCCAGGCCACACCCACTGCCATCATTGCAAGGTGGAGGGTACTGAGGAGGGGGCCACATTGGGTCTAGGGGTTGAAACTTCCAGCAGCCTGCTAGCTGCAGGTGGGTCCGATGCCAGGGCATAGGGCCATCTGGAAGCCACAAAGTGAACTTCAAAATCTTCAGAATTTGAATGAGGAAGCAGAAATATACACTCAAAAAGCTCAACAAACTTCCATTATAATAAACCTAAATAAAAGTTAATCACCGGGCCCGGCGCGGTGGCGCAGTGGTTAAGGTCCTTGCCTTGCACGCCCAAGATCCCATATGGGCACAGGTTCTACCCCGGCAGCCCCGCTTCCCTTCCAGCTCCCTGCCTGTGACCCAGGAAAGCAGTCGAGGATGGCCCAAAGTTTTGGGACCCTGCACCCGTGTGGGAGACCCGGAAGAGTCTCCTGGCTTCGGACCGGCATAGTATCGGCCGTTGTGCTCACTTGGGGAGTGAATCATCGAATGGAAGATCTTCCACTCTGTCTCTCCTCTCTGTATATCCACCTTTCCAATACAAAAAAAAAAAAAAAAAAAGTTAATCACCAAACATAATCAGATTGCTCCAAGTCAGAGAAAAAAAAAAAAAAAAAAAGAGATCTAGCAGCAGTGAGGGAACAGTGACTCATCACATGAATAAAGCTCCAGAAAAACTGTTGGAGTTTCCAGTAAATCCTGAAAGTTCCTGAAAAAGTGCTCATCTCAGTTCAAAAAGTTTGAAGAAACCAGAATCTTTGGGGATGAGCTCCATGCCTGAGATTTGTTAAATCACCAAAAGGGCACACTGTTATGGTTCCACCCTAAAAGCATGTACAATTTAAGTTAGATTCAAAAAATATATGTGGAACAGACCTATGAATTATGGAGAAGTAAAAGGTCTGAAAAAATAAGCACAGAGACGTCTGTAGGTAAATGAGTCTCAGGAGAACAGTGGTAGAGGCATATTGAAAAACAAATAAACAAACAAACATAATATTCTACACTAAAATTACCAAAAGAAGCAATATTCAGACACAACTATGGGGAAAGCAAGGGCCTCACATATCAAGATTTTAAGGAGGTTAATTTGTGAAGAACTAATATTTAGGTCTGCTGCTTGTCCCCTCAGAGTCTAATTGTGTGTCAAAAGGATCTGGATGAAATGGCTTTGTTGAAGACCTTGAACATGGTGCTCTTGATTTCCTTGTTCCTCAGGCTGTAGATAAAGGGATTTAGCATGGGAGTGACCACCGTGTACACCACTGAGGCCAAGGCACCCTTTCCAGCAGAAAGAGAGAAAGCTGAACTGAGATACACACCAAGGCCTGTTCCATAAAATAAGCAAACCACTGTCAGGTGAGAGCCACATGTGGAGAACACTTTATACCTGCCACCTCGAGATGGGATTCTGAGAATGGAGGACACAATTTTATAGTAGGAGAAGAGGATCCCTGACATAGGGAGAAAGCCATACAAGATGCTTCCAATATATGTGACTATGTCACTGCTGAGGGTGTCAGAGCAAGTAAGGTTGAGAATTTGTGAAGGGTCGCAGAAGAAATTAGCAATTTCCACTCCCTTGAAGCAGCAACTTTGTAAGACGATCAAATTATGGAGCAGGGAATCAGAAAGGCTGGCCACAAAGCACAACAAAAATAGAAAGCCACAGCGGTGGGAGTTCATGATGACCTGGTAATGCAGGGGGTGACAGATGGCTACAAACCGGTCATAGGCCATTACTGTCAGAAGAAAATCATCCATGCAAGCAAAGAGGATGAACACAGTCATCTGAGCCAGGCAGCCTGCATAAGAGATGACTGTGCTGTGAGTTAGGATGTCCACAATCATCTTGGGAACTGTGGTGGATGTGAGCCCTACATCAGCCAAGGACAGGCTGCAGAGGAAGAAGTACATGGGTGTGTGCAGGTGAGGATCCAAGGTGACAGCCAGGATGATGAGCAGATTCCCAAACACTATGACCAGGTACATGGAGAGGAATAGCCCTAAGAGGAGGGACCGTCTGTGTTCAGTGCTGTCTGCGAAGCCGATGAGATGGAATTCTGAGACACGTGTGTCATTTTGGCTTTCAAAACAACCTGGGAACCTTGTGTAAAAGGAAATACTGTTAGTTTCAGGGAAAGCAGGCACATGGGCATACAGCGAGAGATCACACTGGAAAAAAGTGTAGGATGAGTTTTTATTTTCCAAGCTTTGCAGTGGCAACTCCTATCACACTCCCGGAACTACAGCACTGAATAGCCTTAGCCACAGGTTTCAATTTCTCATTAACACTCAGCAGCCAAGGATTTCAAAACACTTCAGGTGTCACAACCTATCAACTTGTATCTTAACCCTGGAATTACCTTGGGGTACTATTCGCCAGCTGAACTGTACTAACAGTCACATGGAAATTGTACATACTTTCAGTTTAGGACATCATGGATCTAACGCATGGATTGGTAGGATATATTTCATTAAAAGGCTTTTTGGTGTATGTTACCTTGAAATTCATGATTTCTGGAGATATGTTTTATTCCGACATTTTCAAGAACCCACCTCAGTTCCAAGGTTGGTGACCATATAACTCCTGCCATCTGTCTCAACAGTGCAAGCTCAATCACCTGTTTCTCTTATACAACTGGTTTCTACAAAACCCTCTTTTGATATACCTTCTATATACCCTTGCTTTAGTAACACTCATCTGAACAACATTAAATGTCCAAAACCATTAATTCTAGTATGTCATCAAGCAGACTCAAATGCATCCAACTCTATCAACAAAACAGTAAAAAGTGACCTTTCTGTCTTTAAAGTTAGCAGCATTCTACTTCAAAGCAATGGAGAGCAATATGATTTGTAACTCTTGCAAAAGCTAGGGTTGTATCATTGAAGCATTAGCACTGACTGTTTTGGATAGGGAAATACTGTGGCTTGGGTTTTAATTTATTTCTTTATTTGTCTCATTTGTTTTTGTTAGGATTTTGTCACTCTCAGTTTTCTGAAGTCCCTGTATTACCTCTTTTCCTTTGAGAGTCAGGGAAGAGGAGACCCACCCCCCCTGCTGCCCCAAATTCCTGTTTTATTGGTGTCATGATCAACACAGAGGCTCATAGCTGGAACTTAATTGAGGTCTCCAACATGGGTAGCATGAACCAACCTGTGTGTGTCATCATCCCTGCCTTACACAGTCTGCGCTGGCAGGAGGCTGGGTTCTAAGCCAGAGCTAGGAAGCAAAACATGTAGGAGGAGACGTTTTAATCTGTCATGTGGCAGTTAACGTAGAGCATGCAAAAAAGTGCAGGAAAGAAATGGTCACTTTAGGATAGAATGATCATTTTGAGCCTATGTTTGTACCCAGTAGAAATTGACCTGGCCATCTTCTTGAGTCTTACATGTTGAATATTATGATTAGTGTCCAATGCAGCTGTGAATACAGTGGATTAAATTCATGACTTGCAAATACTGTTGAAAGGAGGCAGGGTATGTTAGGGGAAGCAGGCAAATGGGATAAATGGGATTGTGTTCTTGAAATGTTCCTATAGGATTCAGATCACCTGTTCTGATACTAACAAAAAAACTGAAAAAATAAAAATCATTTTTGTATATAACTTCTCTCCTACAGAACCTGTCAAATTTTGTTCTGTATGATTTCATTAGCTGCAGATAACCACATGAAAGCACAGATCACAAATGTTACCTAAGTACATTCTGACTCAATTAGAAATAGTGGCCTGTTTAGAAGTGTTTGGATTTTTAGTAGTGAATGAAAATGTTTAAGGACTCTGCATGATCTTCACATACTGTCTGTTATGTAAGAGCTATATTTTCCAAGTTTTTCTTAGCTATTTCATCCTTTCATCTCTTTTATGTAGAAGCCTGGTGATATTGACTTGCACTTTTTATGATCAACCCCCTTATTTATGCATAAAGTAGAAAAGGTCCAAAGCATGCATGGAGTTCCAAATGTTCTGTGCATTATTAAAATAGATTTGTGTCATCCCCCCTGATTCATGGATTGTAGTTCTCTAACTTTGGCAGCCCAAAGGCAACTCTAATCTATCATATGAATAGTTCAGGCTATGATGCAGCAAAAGAAAAATTGCAAAACAAAGAATCATAGAAAATAATATTAACACAGCAAGTGGTTTCTTCAATGGTAAGTAAACAGTAGTTATGGACCTTAGGGAGTTATTGTAGGAAGGAGCTATAGATTTTTATTATTTTCATTGCTTTCTTATTTTTTCTTCACAGCTAAACAGAAAGAGCCATCCTCTTTGCATTGATTTACTCCCTACACTCTTCACAAACCTGGGGGCTGTGACAGGCTGAAAGCAAATGCCAAAGCATGGTGTCTCCCCCGGTGCACATGAACAGGAATTGGATCAAAAATGGAGCAATTGAGACTTGAATCAGACTATGTGACACGGGATGCAGTCTTCTGAAACTAAGGTTGAACCCACGGCAGTACAATACACTCCCCTTATGTCTGTATTGATGGAAGAGCACTAAATAGTTTTCTTTACAAGTTGCATGAAATGGGTTCCTAGTGCTTTTACGAGGTGCACTACACCGCTGCTCACCCCAAGAGAGTGCATTGACCTTTGAAGTCTTTCTCTCAGTGCACACTCTGCCTTTAAGCGCTTAATCAGTCCCATCATCAACTGAGAGACCCTCATTGGACTTGTCTATTACTGTGATCAAAATTTCTGTTCATCTCCATGCCTCACGAATTAAGATTTCTGAAAGATACATTAATCAAATTGTTTTTAGTGGCAAAAGTAGTTGACACATCGGCTTACTATTTACCAGCCGTGTTTGCTGTCCTGAGAAAGAAGCAATGACTATTTCCTCTATGATTTTATTTTATTTGATAGACCATCAAATATCTTGTAGCGTAGTAACCGGTAGCCATCCTTTCATGAAAACTCACTAGGCAATCTTATTTCATGAGGGGACTGTTAATTTCATTAAGCTCCCTGGAGAAGTCACTGTGGTGAGAAAGATGTCAAATCAACATTCTATTTCTGAATCATTTACCGAGAATACATACATACACACATACATGTAAATCCCTACCTCTCTGTGATCGCATTATCTTCTGAATAGCAGGAATCACAACCCCGATCTGTGACAGGGTTAGCATACACAGAAAATTAGAACTTGAACATCTTATTGCTCTGATTTTAACAAAGAAAAGATCTTGTCAAGGAGCATGTTTCTCATGAATGCCATTGTCAAAGGGGATTGGAAGTGGCAATGATGCCCAACTCTATAACACATCTCAGCTCAGGGGAATCATCTGCCTCTTCTGTCTCTGTGAGTATCTCTGCCATCATTTGTCAATCCTCATCAGAAAGGAGTCACATCCGTAGACTCCTCCATACAGTGAAGTTATAGGACTCTAAGTCCTTCTAAGAGACCCCAGCCCATGCTAGTCCCATATCCCCGTGAATCTCTGAATCCAGGCCAAGTTCTTGCAAAGAATCAAGGACTGAGAAGATAGCACCGAGTGTGTGGAAGCCACAGTGGACATGGCCAGTTACCATGGGCCAATAATGGCTCTGTGCAATATGTGACACATATTCTTCCTCTGTGTAAGAAACACATGCAGTTCAGGAACTCTGCAGAGGGGGGTCATTGTTCCTCAAGATATGCACTTAAGAGGAAACAATTTTACTCTAAAAATGGTTTTTGCAAGAATGAAGGTATACATTTATTTAATACCAAAAAAAATAGTTTAGTATAAAATTTTCCTAAGTGGAAAATATATATGATAAAAAAACTGTACTTGGATTTAAAAAATTATTTGCATCAGAATTAACTCAAAATTCTCCTTCTGTTTTCCACGAATATTTTGAAGTTTTCTCATACAGTGGCAGAGAAAACACATTACAGCAACAAGAAAGCAGTGTTAAGTAGGTTATCCATCAATGAATTGTGTGAGGACTTGGTTTAAACATAAAGAAGAAAATCGCAATTTTATTATATCCTCTTTTGGTTTATTTGTTTCTTTCCAGTAAAAATTTTCTGAGAAATGCGTGTTGATGAACCAGGTTGTTGTGTCACTGCAGAATTAATATCCATAGCTGACACTGCACACTCTCAGATCCTAAGAATCCACTGCACGGAATGGATGTGGCCCATACAGCAGACCTCGTTCAAAACAGCGTTATCTCTGTCTCTGCTGCATCAGAGGTCTCCACTCTCCACAAATCATCTGGGTTGGTTGGTAATGTCACTGCATTTTCTGCAGCAGAATTGGAATCTAACACCTGAGATTCATACTGCTTTTTCACATGAAGTGATTACAAGAGGTGTGCAAAATGTTGAAAGCTGGGCCAGGTGCAGTAGCCTAACGGCTAAAGTCCCCACCTTGTACACACTGGGATCCTGGCACACCTATGAGATCCGGTTTTAAACATGGCATTCCCACCCCCATCCAGCTCCCTGCTTATATCCTGGGAAAGCATTGGAGGAAGGCTCAAAGTCTTGGGACCCTGCACCTGCATGGGAGAACTGGAAGAGCTCCTGGCTTCAGATCGGCTCAGCTCCGGCCATTGTAGTCACTTGAGGAGTGAATCTTTGCACAGAGGATCTTCCTCTGTCTCTGCTCCTCTCTGTATATCTGACTTTCCAATAAAAATAAACAAATCTTTTTTAAAAAGTTGAAAGCTGAAGTGAAATCTCAGGATGAGATCAAGCTGGAGCTCAACTCTGTGTGACCCTGTGCCTCCTTTTTCAGTGATAGCCGCTTTAAACTCTGGCTGTTGCCCACTGTGGTCTACAGAGAAGCCAAATAGAGAGCACGATGAGCAGGAGGTCTCTCCCTAGAGGAAAGGAATGAGAAATGATTGCTCAGGGTGAGGTGTAGGAATAGATGAAGGGCAGGTGACCATTCTCCAACAGTGTCTGGAACCCAACTCGTCCTCCACCCATTCATACGAGAATGCTCTTGAAAGTATTAGGAAGAAGGATGAAGCAGTTTAGGGACTGCTCGTGAATGTTTATGGTGCTATAGTTCCTGGCATCCTCGTCACCACCATCATGATTCTGTTTGGGAATGTGAAGGAAGTTCACATGCTACTGTCCTGAGAGAGGCATCAGTGGGAATATTTTAATGTCAAGGAAAGAACAAGACAGAGTGAGATCACTGAGACAGTGATGAGACCCAAGTTCATAAAATTTTACAACTTAATAAGGTAAAACATTCCCTCCCCCTTTGTACCTCACGTGTGTCATTTTCTTCGTGATGATAAGTAAAGATGCTCCTGACATCCCAGTGGCATCTCCCAACTTTCTGGCCAGCAGAGGAGATCTACTGACCAGCAGGTGCTCATAGGGGTATTTATCTTAGCACAGAGCTGTCAGACTTCCACTGGCAATGTCAAGGTCTGAAGGTGTTGGCTCATTATTTGCACCTGGAAGACCCTGGGGGCTCAGTGCCCAGAGCTCCTCATTAGCCACTAGGTCCAGTGTGTCCCAGTCTCTGAGGACTGCCTGACCCTGACAGAGGAGGGAATTGGGAAGTGTCCCTGGGTTCTAGACACAAGGCAACTCCTCTGTAAACCTTTGCTGCTGATTTGCAAGTGTGGCATCCTGGCTTAAAACTCAAACTTTGGATTTCAACTTCAACTCAATGTGTGACTTTTATGTGTGGCAATAGATTGGATTGATCATAAAATCAAGAGATTAGATTTCTGATCCAAAATAGCCAATATTGCTTTCAGTCTTTCTCATCTCATTAGTCTCTAAACACAGCTTTCCATTTCTTTTCTAAAGCATTGCTAGCATTAGTTTTGATGTCTGGGCAGCTCATGGCATTTTACTGATGTGAGTGAATGTTCACTTATACATTTTGTCTCTTAACAAAATATAGTAATACTAAAATTATTGACACTTTCTTCTTTAAAAAAAAAATAATAGGGCTTACATTGTTGATTAGGATCCTGGATTGAGCATTAGGAGAAAATGGGTGTGACTACTTTTTCCTTTGCTTCTTCCTATTATCTGGCAGAAGGGTGGAGATAAGGGGTTAAGCCATGCCCAACCTCCCGACTGTCCCAATACCCAGGGTTGGGGACCAGTCACTAAGTATCAACCCAGTGTGCCCCGTGGCACACGGTCCAAAATTTCTGCCCAAGTGTTTTTGATAGCCATTAGAAGGATGAGGGAACTCTTTCAATATCCGTTGGCTAAGCAATTGATCTTAGGATCTCCATTTACCCAGATTCTTGCATCATCATTTGGCTTGGGAAGATGTCCATTTTGCTCTGTTCTCCTTCCTCTGCTATGGCACCAGATGTCCTCTGCAGGATCCAGTGGACTGCCATATCCTCCACTGAGGAGATTAAGCTTTAACATAAAGGCCCAAAGACCCAGGCCAAGAGACATGGGCCCCTCCAGACACCCCACACCCAGGGCTCCTAGACCCGGCATCTACCTCGCAGGAAGACTCAAGTACCTGGGCCTGGTGTCCTGGACACTGGAGGATCCCCAACACCCAGCGCTCATGAACCCAGCACCCACTGCACAGGCAGGCTTAAGGACAAGGGCCAGGCAACCTGGAACTCACTGGATATACCCTCCCCTGCCCAGAGGACTCATGGACCTAGCACCCATTGTATAGTTGGGCTCCGGGATCAGGGCCACCAGGCCATGCCATCCCTTTCCATCCCCAGGGCTCACAGATCTGGCAACCACCATGCAGGAAGGCCTAACAACCCAGGCTAGGCAACCTAAACCTCACCAGATCCCCAAAAGCCCCAGCGCTCACAGATCCAGCCCCCAATGCACAGGCAGACCTAAGAGCATGGGCCAAGAGACCTAGGTCCTGCCAGACCCCAGAATTCTGAGACTCATACCCCACCACCAAAACCCAAGAGGACTCAAGGACCTGGGCCATGTGCCCCAGTCGTTGCTGGACCCCTCGCCCTGAGGCTCACAGACCCAGCACCCACCACATGAGTGAGCTCAGGGACACAGTCCAGGTGATCCAGGCCCACAGGAACCCCCATGCCCTGGGGCTCACGGACCCAGCACCTACCACACAGCTGGGCCTGAGGACCCAAACCTGACAATGCTGGATCTTTACCCCCTTGGTTCACAGCCCCAGGATCCTCCATGTAGTTGGACTTAAGGACATAGGCCATGTCACCTGGGTCCCATCAAAAGTCCCTACCACCTCGGCTCATGGACCCAGTACCGATCAACTCAGATTGGCATGACTTGCCTCTCCTCAGCATCAACCAGCAGATGCTTCACCTGGCTCTGCCCAGTCTGCCCCAGTGCCAGTTCCTGCTGGTGAGTGCTACAGCCTAATCCGATTCAACCCAAATCCCCAGTCCAGGCCCTAGTGTGGACTAGTTGGTATTGTAGCCCAACCAGGCCTATCGGGTACCCCATCCCGGTTCTCACATCTGCCAGTGAATGTTATGAACTAGCCAGGGTTGGTCCACCCTAAGACCTGACCCACCTGTATGTCAGCACGTACTATAACATGACCTGGTCTGGGCTGCTTCTTGCCTTATTTCTTGTCCTCACCTTCAGGGACTGCACACTGACAAAGGAGTTTCTCAAGCTTTTCTATCTGATCTCTTCACAGTGGCAGATCTTGCCACACCAGTGGGTCCTTGGCCCAGGTTGACTTTGTCCATGAGATGTGTGGCAGGGGCAGTACCCTTACCCAACCAGCCAACACCCTTGCTGATCCTTAGTGTTGGGTATTACAGCCTGGCCTTACTTTGTCCATGCCCAAACGGAGTTCTCTCATGGTTCAGTGGGAGCCAAGATCTAGGCAAGCCCATTCTACCCCCACCCAGACTCATGATTACCAGTGGGTGCTTGAATCCAGCTCAGTCAGGCACTCCACAAAATCAGTCCACATCCATGCTGAGGGAGACTACAGCCATGTCCAGCCCATTCCTCTGCTTCCTTTCTGGCTGTCACTTTCACTGTTGGGACCCCAAGCCAGCTGGGGCATCCCCTAAGCTCTCCAGCCATGCCTGTGCCCAGCCACAGATCTTGCATTTGCCAGCAAAGACTGCAGTTGCACTGTGGTAAGCCCATACACACCCCCAACATATCCTTCTGTCAGACCTGGTTCTCTCATGTGTTGATTAGTGTTATTTCCCAGCCTAAAATTATGAGTCTCCTGTTCAGACTCTCGCTGATGGGTGCTGTGATCTTGTCCTGCCAGGTAGGCCTCCAGCTCTAGCTTTAATGTGTACCAGTGAGTGTATTTAGGTGGTTGTCACTGTTGACTACCCCAGCTTGGGTCTCCCACATATGCTGTTGATTTGGACTGACCTTTAAAAGCCTTCTTCTTACCCCCCCCCCTCCAAACCACTTGGTTTCAGCGCCCTTGCTTATCTAAAACTACAGTGGCCTTGTCCATGGATGTTTCTCAGGACTCATTCCTCACCTGTACATGAACCCTGAGGTCCCTGCTCAGCTTTCCTTGTGCCATGGTCATGTAAGCAGACACACCCAAATCCTTACACCATATTGATGCTGGGTGGCCAGAGGACTTCATCTGGAACCATTGGGTCCGGGTCACCCAATCTGGAGTCACTTCTACCACCACTAGGTGAGCAGAGGCAAGAGGAACCCGCACAGACCCCCTGAAATCTCCTGCTGTCCTTACTGGGGAAGAGAGATCAAGGTGCCTCCAGGCAGGCCAATCTGGAGTCACCCCAACTTACGTGTTTATTCTTTATTTTATACTTGACATCCATACTACAATAGTAGTATAACAGATTATTTTCAAAAGTATGTAGAAAATAAAGCAAATTGAAAGCTATATAATATGTATTTTTAAAGACAATATTTGTGTAAAACTATTCAGTTATTCCTATTATATAGTGTGATGTACATGTCCTGACTACTCTACAATGAACCAGCATGAAAAGAATGAATTGCTTCTAACACTTCTTGGTTTCACACATGAAACAAATGATTTCCACTATCCTGCTGACCTGCAATGCTTCCACTCACCCTCCTTCTGCCTTGGGGTCCAACAAAACTCACAGGGACAGATGCATATAGCAAGGGGCCTCACTGGGAAATGAGTGTCCATACCCATGCATGTCCTGGGGCTCTCACACAAGGACTGTTGGGAAGACTGTTGTCACGGCAAGTTCAAAAGCTCAGCATCTTAAGTAAAGTATGTGAAAGCTGCCTGGCACATCCTTAAAAGGAACAGTGACACACATGCTTCCCTGCACAGACAAGAGAAACATATGCACAATGTGCATGGAAAGTAAATTCTACAAAAGAAGTGACCTTCAGCGCCCGGTACAATAGCATAGTTGCTAAAGTCCTCAACTTGCATGTGCTGAGATCCCATATGGTCTCCGGTTCTAATCCTAGAGGCCCCACTTCCCATCCAGCTCCCTGCTTGTGGCCTGGGAAAGCAGTTGAGGACAGCCCAAAGCCATGGAACCCTGCACCTGTGTGGGAGACCCAGAAGAGCTCCTGGACCTGGCTTCGGATTGGCTCAGCTCTAACCGTTGTGCTCACTTGATGAGTGAATCTTTGGATGGAAGAGCTTCTTCTTTGTCTCTCCTCCTCTCTGTATATCCACCTTTCCAATAAAAATAAATACATCTTAAAAAAAAAAAAAAAGAAGTGACCTTCACAAGCAGGAAAAAGAGAATTATTCAGTGGTCCAGCATGTTTGGATTCCTGAAAGCTCCATGAATATAATAGAATTCAAACATGTAAGAAATAGTATATTCAAATGATCTAAGTCATCTAAGAACCAAAGAAGCAGCATTCAGAGTTAAAATGGGAGAAGTCAGAGACGCGAATGTTCTGTATTGAGGAGGTGAGGCTGAGAAGTCTACAGGTTTAGATGGCTGCTTTCTCCTATGTGAAATGAAAAAGCTGAGGTGAAGTTACTTTGCTCAAGAGCCTCCTCATGGCTCTCTCGATGTCCCTGTTGCTCAGGCTGTAGATAAAGGTGTTCAGCATGGGGGTGACCACAGTGTACACCACTGAGGCCACTGCACATCTCCTGGGAGAAACTGAGGAAGATGAACTGAGATACACACCAAGGCCTGTTCCATAAAATAAGCAAACCACAGTCAGGTGAGAGCCGCAGGTGGAGAAGGCTTTGTGCATGCCACAGGATGATGGGACCCTCAAAGAGGTGGAGACAACTTTATAGTAAGAGAAGAGAATCCCTGATATAGGAAAAACAAAAAATGATGCCAACCAAATAAATGATCATATCAAAGCTGAATGTGTCATGGCAATTAAGGCTGAAAAGCTGAGAAGGGTCGCAGAAGAAATTGGGAAATTCTACTCCCTTGAAGCAGGTAATCCCTAAGACCATAAAATTCTGCAGCAGAGAATCCCAAAGGCTAATGACAAAACACATCAAAAGTAAGAAACTGCAACGACTGGGGTTCATGATGAGTTGGTAATGCAAGGGGTGACAGATGGCAACAAACCCATCATAGGCCATTACTGTCAGAAGGAAGACATCCATGCATCCAAAGAGGAGGAAAACAGACATCTGAGTCAGGCAACCTGCATAGGAGATGGCTGAGTTGTGGGTGAGGACGGCTACAATCAAGTTGGAAACCATGGTGGAGGTGAACCCATGTCAGCTAAGGACAGACTGCAGAGGAAGTAGTACCTGGGGTGTACAGGTGGGAGTCTGAAGTGACAGCCAAGATGATAGCCCGGTTCCCGATCACCGTGACCAGGTGCATGGAGAGAAACAGCCGTAAGAGGAGGGCCTGCAGCTCTGGATCCTTGGAGAAGCCCATGGGATGGAATTCTGAGCTATGTGTGTGGTTTTGTGCTTCTGTATAACCTGTCTAAGAAACCTGTCTGGGAAAAGGAAACAGTGCTGATGAAGAGAAACAAAGTACTTTCTTTAATAAATAATTCAATAACTATTTTCAATTCAACATAGATATGACACATGACTATCTCTAATGTTTTTAGAATAAAGGAGTAAAGGGGCATGGTACACATGTCATTTTAATTTTTTGATGTTTATACAGTTTATTTTGATGATGTTTGCACAGTTTATTACAGAGGAAGGATCCAGGGTTAGGGAAAAGTGGGCGTGATCATTTTGTCCAAATTTTCTTTTTCTTCTTCTTGTATCTGTGGGAATTGGGAAGATAAGGAGAGAAGCAATACACAGCCTTTCAACCACCCCAATCTCCTTGTATGGGAAACAACCTCCTGATAACAGCCCAGGATCCCAATGTGGTGCATGCTCCCAGGGTTCTGCCCAACTGGTTTGGCAGGATTTGAAATGCTGTCCATATCTCCTATCCAAGGGTGTTGAAACAAAACAAAACCAAACACCACAAAGGGAAAAAATAAAGCTCAAAGACAGGGACACAGAACTTCTCTTTATTTTCGATTCATGTTAGGGTTAATGCATAAGTATCTCTAAGGTATTTGGAATAGATGGAATTAAAATAAAGGGATTTCAGTGTACACATAATGTTTTACAGTCTGCAATTCTATAGGACATTCCTGAAAGGGATGAAGGCAGTCACACGGGAGGACCAGGTGCGTTGAAGCCATAGTGACCATGTCCAATTACTGTAAGGGATGGCTCTTTTAGTAGTAACACATTTTTGTATGCCTGTTTTAATCAAGCACAAATGAGGTTGATGAATTAGAAATGAAATACTGTCATTCTTCCCTAAATACACAGCTTGTGCCTTTGTGAAGGTATGGGTATACTCACAAAATGTTTTGGAAGAAAGGAACTAAAAGAATGGATTCATTCTTACAAAAAAGCTTCTGGTAAAAATATTGTAACCATTTGTGGAATATTATATTAGGAAGCACTTGTGCACAGAATTTAAATCGGATGAAAACTAAGTTGAAATTTTATTCCATTACTTTCTCTCCACAGTGTTTGGAGGACAAGAAGAAAAAGTCCTTTTACTAAAGTAGAATGTATTATGTAGGTTTCATTTGATGGATAATTTTTTAAATCAATATTAAAAGAGTAGTAGTAATATCTAGAGCTATTTTGTCTGTTTTTGCTTCACATTTACCACTAGATTGCACAAGAAGCTTCTAATCCAAGCTCATTTCTTCCTCAATGAAATGTCAACTCAGATGAAAATACTGAGTATCGCAGACCATAGCTCCACCCTAAAGGAATGGAAAC